ATGTGGTGGTAGGTAAGGGTGGAGAAATGAAGATAAAATCAAAGGCATTGCAGTCTGAAAAGTTTGAATCTGATTCTAGGGTTGGTTCTCACTTTTGTTGGGAATCTGGTAGACAGTATACTATAGAGAGTATATGCACTATAATCATTATAAGCAATATAACTGGCACTTCCTTCAACGATTGACGGTTTACTGAACTCACTTTTTCAGGTAGCCAATCACATCAATCACTATTTCAGGTAGCCAACCTTCAAGGGTTGGCTTTTTCCTCAGGCTGAGGTACCTAACCTCCACCTGCACCAAGCCTACCTACCAACGTTGGCATCCCCCCCAAATAACTCTACTTAGAGGTTGGCTACCCAGAAGATTTTGGGTAGCCAACCCTCTCTGGGAGCTACAACTGGGGATTACAATTATACGATATATATAGGCCAGGCCAAACACTTGCAAAACCCATCTGTGTCACACACACACACACATGTTCAAGTGTTAAAAAAGCCAGTTCACGGTGAACTGAACCTTCAATTGGACCCCCCCTCGTCTCGGACCGACCTGGACCCGGCCGCCCCAAAACTGGGCCGCCCCTTCGTCGCTCCGCCCGACCGAGGCGCCTTCTGGCGACGCAAATGGGAGCTGGGCCAAGCGAATTCCTTCGGCATTGGCGAGCGTCGGCGGCCGAGCCGGACCCGGGGGGGGCGGTTGGGGTGGACAGAGTAGTTGTCAGAGGAGATAGATAGCACTGGCAACGATGCTGGCGACGCAAGATGATGTTTATACTTTCTAGGGGGGGTCCATAGAAACCACCCACCTTAGGGGCCCTTGTGCCACCTTTGACACCACTGTCGAGTGTTTCGCCGAAAAAAGGAAGTGGGGTCCAGGACGTGGGACGGAGCCACGCTGGATTTGCAGCGCCACGGAAGCAAATGGAAGCAAATCAACGGGCTTTTTCACGGTGAACATGGTTCCAGCCACAGTAGACCCCCAGCAGCAGAGAAACTATATGATTCACTGAGAGCCTTAGGTGTGTTTTTTGTAGATCAAATCTACGACGACTTGCTTGTCCCCAACAGTTAACAGGTCCTGATGCGCGATGGGCCAGAAATGGCCAGATCTGGCAGTGTTGGGAAGAATATGGAAGAATGAAACCCACACGACTGTAGATAGCCCTTGGTGGTGTACAAGACCCAAGTTGGGCCCCAGACAGTAGTGGTTCATAGTGGTTCTCAATGATTGGAATAAGGTGTCATACGAACATTATGGCACATCAAATTGTCCTTGGATATCCTTATCTATATAACTTATCAGTCATTCTGGCTTTGTTGGCGCTTAAAAAACCACTGTGCTTGTAATAAAACATGAAACAACATATGGAACTTATGTTGGGTCCAAATTGTTTATGGTATATATATATATAATATAGAAATTCAACTATTGGTTGTCTCAGCTCTTCAACAAAAGAACACAAACACAAACCCAACCCTCACATTGGTTTGGGTCTGGCGCCAGGTCCCAACTATGGACGGCCTGAAGATGCGGATGTTGGGCCCAACACCTACGGCGACTACTCCTCACAGGTCGCCAAGGCGGATGACCCTCCGCGAAGCCGGGAGCGTACGTTTTGCAAGATTTGGTGGGGATACAGATGCCAAGGATCGCCAAGGACACTGTAGATATCTGTAGATGATATTGGATTCTAGAAATTCCCGGATTCCCTCTCCTCTCCTTCTTTCTTGATTTATTTGTGTATTTGTCTCTCTCTCTCTCTCTCTCCCTCCATATTTTTAGCTGAAGCTACCACGCGTCGCACGTGACGGCCATCCTTTCTCCATCAACTCCATCCGCACGAGACAACGAGACACGGTGGCGGTGCGACCGGAGGTGAAGAGGAATTACATCCGGCCGGGCATCAAGATGAAGCCCCGCTTCGAGACCATGGAGGCTCGACTTCCGGGTCGACCCTGGGGGGTCAGACTCGGGCAGAGAGTCGGACGTGTTCCGTTGAGATCACGAGAAGACAGGAAGGAATGGGTTGGGGGGACGAAGGAAGGGGATTTTGAGATATTTTGACTCGGTAGAGCTCTACTGTACTGTAGATGGATGTTCTGAAAGGTAGCCAACGACACGAGTTTGACATACTTAGTTGCGGCTAGTTTTCGTGTTTCGCCTTCAGCCTAGCTGCACTTTGCAGATGGCGATGAGAGAGTTTTGCACAAACCACCTCGTTTCTTGTTGGTGGGTGTTGTTGGTGGTCGTTGCTTGCTTGTGGTGGCCCGTCCGGCTTCAGGAGAAGCAGCGGGATCCTCGAAGCGGACATGGTGGGCCTGGGCCGGCGAAGTACAACTGCAGCATTCCCACAGGTGGGTCCGAGCGTTTCTTCAGGGATCGAATCAGCAATCCCAGGGATGATGTGGTGCAGCCTTGGATCGATCTGGTGCAGCCTTGGATGCATCGAACTTCTTGGGAAAGGAATGTTGGATGAAAAGGAATGTTCTAATGTTCTTGGTCATGAGTCGTTGGCGTAAGAGATGTGTAGAAAGTGGAAGGAATAAACTAACAGTGATTGGTGGAGGACTGGCTGACTAGCTGACTGCCTCTCCTCGCTCGGTGGAATTGGCCAGAAGATCCCGTAGCCTACTATAGTTACTACAGCATCAGACACCCTGGAAGGTTCTATATATGACATTCAGAGTTACACTGCACGTCGAGCTGTGGAGAATCCTATGATTTGTTTACTTCGAAGGGATCTACTGCAAAGGTTCGTCAAAAGCCGGCACTCCGTCTCCGGAGTGACGTGCAGGCAAGTCTTCATGGTGCTACCCTTCAAGGCGGGTGATGGATCCGATCAGTGTCCGGCCGTGTCGTGAAACGCGTGGACACCGTCCACATGATGCAGAAGAAGGTCGACGTCCATGGTGGAAATTCGGGTTTTAGTATTGGGGGGCGGCTGAGGCTCAAGTTGGGCTTGATTAAAGAAGGGGTTCATTAATCACAGTAGTTCCATGTCGGTTCCAGGAAGCCACAGACAGACCCTAGACTCGTACAACTTCAGAGTCGAACATCCCAGAACATCTCAGAACGCACGGGCAGCGCACAGGGCCCGAGGGAGGTTACTTAATTACGCAGATTCCGTGCTGCCAAATGCGTGTTTTTTTCCCGAGCTTGGTGGCCAGAAGCCATTCAAGTGTTCTTCTACGAAGGAACAACTGGCATGGTGACCAGCAAAGCGGGTGCTATATGAACCGTATGAACTGATGTGTTACTGTATTGTCTTTCGTGGTGTTTCTCCGGATCATTTCAACCGGCCGGCTGATCTGCCCCCGGCTGTGTGGATCAACATGTCATTTCGAAGAGCCTGGTACATCAGTCACGTACTCTGAATCCTTCGATGTTTATCGAGCCGCTGCTGGCTGTTTTGCCCCTTTTTCCACCAACTGGGGAATGCGTGTTTTGATGTGCATTCAGGGTCAGCCAGGTTTGTTAAGAAACTGCGATGTCCAACGTCTGGACGACTCGAAGGACCACATGTCGATGAACGCCTGGGGTTGTCCAGACTGGTCTGTCAGGAGTCCAAACTGGTCGCTGGGAGCGCGGACCATCCTCCAGCAGGACAGAGAGTTGGGAGCGCTCAGAGTTCCCGCGGACGGACCAAAGCGCTAAAAGCGACTTTGAGGAGTGCAGAACCTGGTGCTTTTTCCAAGAAGCAAAATCGGTTAGACGTCCAGATGTTCGAAAACAGGTGGACACGAGTGTTTCCGTGAAGACGTTGGATGTTAAGGGGGAAAGGGTTTCACTTTAGAGTCTGTGTGTGCGCCCGGTCACATACTGTAGCACATGGAGAAAGCAAATCATATGGCGCAGCAATGGTGTTGTGCTTTCACCCTACTGACCATAGTGATAGCCTCACTGATAGTGATACCCTAGCAACAAAGGGCAAAGTTCAAACCCCATTTAGTCGCCCGCTGCACCATTACACTGCCGCTCTCAGCGCAGCTGGGACAAAGACCTAGCCAGGTCGCAGGTGGGTTGGCTAGCCTTGTTTTTGGGGAAAGTCTGGTGATTTTTGTTTTTTTTTGAAGTTGAAGTGGGAACCCTAAGGTGTTTGGTGCACCCATGTGGGTGTGCTGGACCCACATGTGCTAGCCCGTGGCGTGTTCCCACAATGAAAGTCTTTCAAAAGGAGCCAACGATCTACAGCAGGTCCAACTCTCCTATGCGACCTATGCGTTGGAGTTCTGGCTCTCACAGGTCTCACAGGTCGGGCTCCAACTCGCTGACCAGGTCGGCTTCCCCCCCCCACGGTTCGGTGTCCGGTTCGGAGTCGCCGGGAATCCACTCGGGGGGGGCGGGGAGGTCACTCAGCATGTCAAAGGTGTTTTCTTCTGCTTGGCACTTAGCTGGAACCATCATGAACCATCTCTATTAGGTTGGAGGCCATCGCATCCAAAGCTATTAGCTTGGAGACCCTGTTGATTGATTCCGGTGCCCCGAGTCCTCCCTCAGAGTCGAAGATCCTCCGTCTCTGCCGAGGTCCTACGGGAAGCCTGGACCAGACACTTGAGAAGCAGAGAATCGGTGAGTCAAGAAAGCTACCCCTGGCGTTGAAAGCATCAAGTGCAATCCCTAAGTTTATTTTTGGAGGGGCGGTTTTAAAGTGTTTGATATGTGTTTGGTTGTTTTAAGTATATGTTGTTAAATGGTTTTGTCTTTGCTGTTATTATGTGTTTGTTGTTGTTTTTGATTCGTGTTTTTGGATGTGTATTTTAATGCGGTTTGTTTTTTATTTTTGTGTTTTTTTTGCTTTTGTTGTTAAGTTATGTTTGTGTTTGCTGTGTTTTCCGCTGTTATGTTTTTCATATGTGTTCGTTGTTTTTTTAAATGTTCTTTGCTTTTGTTACTTTTCTGCTTTGGTAACTGTTTTCCTTTCGCTTTTTGTTTTTACATTTGCTGCTTTTTGCTTTGTCTATTTTTTTTGCTACTTGTTTGCCTTTGTCGTATTGTTTGTTTTTTGTTGCTCTTATGTTTTTTGCTTCTGTCGTCTTTTGTTGCGCTTGATATGTGTTTTGCTTGTCGTATGTTCTTTTGTTGGCTTTTGGCTTTTGTTGCTATTTAGTTTGCTGTGTTGCATTTGTTTTTTGTAGCGTTTTGCATTGTCCTGGGCTTTTGTAGCCGTGTGTTGTTTCTTGTTTTTTGTGTTTTTGCTTTTGCTGCTGTTGTTGTGCTTTTCTGTATTTTGCTTGATGGTTGTGTTGTTTTGCTTCCCGCGAAGCTGAATTTGTGAAATGTTTTAAGCTGCAACCAATTTGACACCTAGACTATTCCAATGCATTTTGCCAGCTACGACAGCTGTGTCTCTGCTAAGGACATCAAATTGCTGCAATTAGCTACAATTAATATGAAACCTGCACTATTCCAAGTCTCTACGGCAGCTGTTTCTCTTTTAAGGACGCCCAATTGTTGTATATAATTAGCAAGGACATGTGAACCGGATGATTTTGACAAAAAAAATCACCGAAAAAAAAAAAAACAAAAAAAACAATACATACCATCAAAAGTGCACCCTTTAGTTGTTGGCAGGGCTTGTCATGTGCAACCCGAAACGTCACCTCTAAGTGAGGATGACTTTGCGATGTTTGCAGATTGCCCAGGCCCATGGAACTGAGCATAGTTCACGCTCATATATGACCTCATTTTGAACACCAATTCACCTACATTGACCTCGTTTGGATCCAAACCCCAAATGCATCCAACTGTAGGTCTCTCAAAAAACCTCGTCCCGTGGAGTCTCATGGTTGGCTGTTTGAACATCGATGGCCGTTGCCGAACTGGGAATCGATCGGAAGAGCGAGCGCACACCGCGCTCTGGAAGCGCTCAGGGCGTTCGGAAGGGCGTTCGGGACAGGGATGAGGCTAAGCCTCAACGGGTGAAGCATAGCTTAAGAAGGAGAAAGGGGCTAGCAAGTTAGACTAACTTATAGCATCTACTGTAGTAACATGTATAGCAACTAGTATATAATATAGCAGTACTCCCTTGCACCAGCTTCAGCTTCATTATATAAGTAGATGGCACAACCGTAACATCAATTTTCAGTATGAGTCGTTCTTGCCGTCAATTTAGGTCAGTCATGGTTAGTCAAAAATAGATGGAAGAATACTGACACTGAGATGCTCAGCTGTTCGCAGCAGAGAAATCTCCCCTCAGCCCGTCACCTAGTACATCACCACTGGTGATTGTGTTTGGCAACAATCCGCTTGCCTGGGGCACCTATGCTGCAGACAAACATGGACCCCAAAAAGCTAGAGAGAACATGTCTTCGAGGGGGGAGGTTTTCTGGATCCATGTGAATTTTATCGGCTGTGTCTTTGTTTGCTTGACAGGAGGTCATGAATGGGCACTAGGAGCGGCACTGCTTCAAGGGAAGCTGGTAGTCTTCACACGTGTTTGATTTCTTGTGCCTAGGAGAGCATCTAACTACACAGTAAACAAGCATGCATAGGCGTAGCCTCGGGATGCCTCGAGCTCCATTTTATTGCAATCATTCCCCATGAACGCCTAATAACACCTCAATGTAGACAGTTTTTCCATCTTTTGTTGCTTCATTTTTTTTTCGAGTCAGTCGACTGACTCGAGCTGTGGTGGAAAGAAACACATCTTCACGCTGAGGACGCCTACAATTGCATTACTCAACCTGGCAGAAATTCGCCGATTTTGCTCCTCGGAACCGGACCGAAACGGGGAGCTCGGTGGCGGGGCGCCAGCTCGGTAAAGGATCGGCCAAGGGGAAGGGTTGGCAGCAAAGACCTGAAAGACTTGATCTTTTGGAGGAAAAGTGAGGAAAATAAACGATATCAGAAGAAGTCAATGTTTTTGTTTGGATTTGTGGCGCAAGGAACCAACACAAGCATCAAATTGTTCCAAGTTGGGTGACTTTGTGTCAAACACTGGCCCTCCCAGGGAGGAACATACTGGGTTCCCCCCTCGTGAATGCAGCAAGACAGTGTGCTGGGCCGGCCATTCAACGTATTGCGCAAAGGAAAATCTACAGGAAACGTAAACAAACATCACGAAACCATGGTTTTCACACCCCAAAGTGATGATTGGTTTGATGCATCCGATCGATTTGCCCCCGTCAAGTCCTCTCTTTGAAGACGCGACCTCCACGGAGCAGAGCTGGTTCTGAGGCGAGGCACCCTCTACGACATCACCTTGAAGACTCGTACGAAGGTGCGAATGGATCGCAGCCAAACCACCTGTGCACCGTGACCTTTTGGGCGCCAGAAGGGACCTCCATCCGAACTGGCTATTGTTGGAGAACACCAAAAAACACCGGCTCAGAGACGACGAGATTTGATGAGATAGAAATCTCGGACCCTGCAAAGTGATGCTCCAGGAATCCCGCCACATTCGATCGCAGCGGAGACGTTTGATACCCAATTGCTTGATAGCATACTACCAGCATGCTACCAGCATGCTGCCCATTTACATGTCTTTTCCAGTCAGTGCCCATTTCAGAACAATGGCTGCTTGATGAAAAAGAGAAAGGGGCGCAGGGGCGTGGAGTTTCAGCCGGTTTGCTTTTGTTTTTGTATCCTTCGGCAGTCCCCAAAGTCTATGAACTCCACGGCCCCGTCCGAAACGAATTCCCGAGAGGTGCATCAGGTGGGCGCTTCAAGCCCGGGTCCCGCGCGCTACAACGTGCCCACGGAGCTCTCCAAGTGCGCCAGCCCTGGCCGGTGAAAATTGAAGATCTCTAAGATTTTCTTGAAACAGGGGATCCTGTGGGGAGGTGCCAACGACGGGTTTTGGTGTCACAGTCGTGGTTGCGTGAGCTCTCAGGAGTTGAAAGCGGATGCCAAGGGCCGGGACTCGCGGCCTCGTGGTGAAGAAGAGTCAGGTCGGAGGATAATGACCATAGTCACAGTCATAGTTGCCAACTAGAGGCGCTAGAGGTCCATCAGAGAGTTTCCGAATATGGTGCAGTTGGCGCTGGATTCTACATGTTTCAGTCTTATTCCGTTATAGGCAACATGGACTTCATCTCATCATCCTTCGGAAACATTCCCCTCCTTCGAAACCTTGTGCTTTCTCAAAAGCAACCGGGTTTTCACTGAAAACCTATCTCCATCCCTAGTTCCATCCCAGGCACTGGCCCCACCTCCAGCAAGGAGTAGCCTAGCCAGGGCACCATCCGATGAGCGGCCAGGTATGGATTGGATCAGAAGATCGCCAATGTCAAGGCTAGGAGTCCCCCCAGACCATCGGGACTGGAGGAGTTATTCTTTATGGGGACAGGTAGCACATTGGAGCACATACCAGATGTGTATATGTTTTTTGTGTACATGTAACTTTCCAGTCCCGGGTCCTCAGATACGACAATGGGACTATGCCTGGTGTTTGTTTGTTGAACTGCCGCTGGTGATGAACTCCGGACAGTCAAAGTTGGAGTTGTACCACCCAACCATGGCACTGTAGACCGATCATGAATGATCATGACCGATCACCATCCTTGCGTTATTTTTTGTGTTTTGATATGTCCTTCCTTTTGGCATTGTCGCGGTTGAAGTTCAACTCGCAAGGAGGATGGCCTTACTTGCAAGGGAGGTACAGAAACAACTAGATGAGGAATCATGAGAACATTTGCCTTAGGCCCCACCTTCATGCGCTTCCGTTGCCACGTGACCTTGTTGGGGCATGATGGGACCAATTTCGTGGGCTTGCTTCCTGCACGACGTGTGAGGTGCCCAAGAAGAGCGCGGGCACCTGGACATGACGACGGGATGGGACTCGTTCGATGGCCCTGCACGTTTTGGAGTCGTTTCGATGGCTCAGGAAGAAAGCTGAGAGGAATTCTTTCTCCTGGGAGAATGCAACCTACCATTGTACCTACCATTCTACCATGAAATCCAATATCATGTCCTTCCATGCGGCTGATCTCTCCCGCTTAGAAGATTGAGATTGAGATTCAGCAAGATTGACGCGAAGCAATCCCAGAGAATCGGAATCAAGAGTTTCCTAAATAGACAAGTCATCGGAGAGCAAAGATTAGCAAAGTCAATGTTTGTGCTGGAGGTCTATCAGCTTGTGGACCTTTGTATGGACAGAAATGTTTTTTGGGGTCCAGTGGTGGCTGGATCCAGCATTTTGTCGGGTGTTTGAGGCTTAATATGCATGTGATTGTTGGACTAGGGAGACCCCTGCCCCAATGCATTAATTGTCCTTGTGCCACAGGGTTTTTTGGGGTTGGGGGTCCCCTTGTTCCAATGCAGACGCAGGTTTGGTTTATTCTTGAACCAATGGTTGACTTTTGATTGTGCAGTTGGTTGACGACTAACCGGCACAGGTGATCGAGTCCGAAACCAGGGAGTAGTTGGTGTAGACTTCCACAAAAGACCGACCATGCATCTGACCCAAGAATTGAAAGAGACTTTGGAGGACCCAACCAAGCTACCTCACCACTCGCACACAAGAACGACACGAGTGGTGCTTGAATGGACTGAAGTCCTTGTTTGTGGTCAGGCACTGTCTTCGATCCAGAGGTATCACAAGGAGAGAGTTGCTCGTCGCAAGTGGGTTGGGTCTGTGATATGGTTTGAAGATGTTATATATAAGTGCGTCATAGTGCGTCAATGTGGGTACACCCGGGAAGATTAACATGGAACCTGACAATGGACCTTTGGAAGACTATGTTCCTTTACAACCCAGTGGTTTTCAGGTTCCATGTTCATTTTCCAGGGTGTAAATTTTTGTAAATGTCAAATATATATATATATATTCCCTACATGGGTTGTTGGGGAACAGGCAATACGATTCTTCCCCATAGCGATAGCGTGGATCAATCTACCACCTTCTGACACAGCAATTGCTCTTTACAGTGGGTTTGTTTGCTTGTCAGGTCTTGGGGAACGAGGTGTTTTTATTGTAATGCCAGTTGGCTATTGACAGCCAAGTTCTTCATCAGTCCAGGCTGTCCCAGTGCTGTTGAGCCTGGCCCTGTTTTTGCAGGAGAACCATCTGCAGCTGCAGAGGAGAGCAGGCGGCCGTCGCGGGCCGTGCAAACGTTGATCGAGAGCTGTCCCAACAGAGGCTCCTAGGATGGCTCCTAGGATCTCCTAACCATGAATTTCACATACTGGGGTGTCTCCTGAGCATGGCTGGGCTAGACTCTACCTGGTGAATTCGATGTCCAAGCCCGCAGATGCTCGGGCGGATGACATGGTGAACATGAGTATGGACGGACGGTATGAGTGGTGGGGCGTTCATCTTGGGAGCCTTGTGCCGAAAGTCTGAAATGGACCAATCCCAGACACTGTGACACTCCATGTAGCCCCTCAAACCACCTTAACTGATCGGCACATATGGCAGTTCACCAAGCCCTATCTAAGAGGTGGGAGCCGCAGCCCGTATCCAGAGATCGATCGTCATTTCAGCGGGATTGCCGCGCCCGTGCCGGGTCCGGATTTGGGTTGCTTGGGCTGGCTGAGATGGTTTGGATCCTCCTTCTACAATGCAATGTTCAAGTGCGAACGGGACCTAGTCCTACAATGAAACCTTACTGCAATCATTGATTTTGAACAGATGGAGGCAAAATATGAAAGCATATGATCGATGCCGTCGACGGCAAATACACCCTTTGCAGATGAACATGGGCCCTGAAAACCACTGGGTGGTAGATGAGAAGGGTCTTACGGGTACTTACAAGGATCCATTTACACGGTCCGTGTTAGTTTGCAGGGAGAGAGTGCCAGCTGTTGGAGCTGTTCATCCTGGATCTCCCAAAGCCGATTCAAATTTCCAGCACCCAGATATTGTCGGAACGGATCCAAAAGCTTCTTGAGCGGATGAAAAGACGGAGGAACCGCATGTTTTTCAGACGCCAGAACACACGCAATCCTTTGACGGTCAAATTGAATATTCATGACTCAGTTCATTCATTCTCAAGTACCACAAGTTCCCAAGGCCTCTCGGCCTCTCCTTCGTTCGGCCGCGCAGGCTGCCACGCATCGACAGCTCCCCGCTGTGAGACGGATCGACAGCACCGGCCACCGGCCACGAGAACGGTTCCATTCCCAAAAGGGTTTTAAAGGCCCAAGTTCCCTCCCCTTTCTAAATCTTTCTAAGGCCCTCCAAAGATGTACATATCCAAATAAACTTTGTTTCACATGTTTTTCACCGTAATGCCGCAATGCCCTCTAACTAAAGTCCCTGTGTCTTGGGGAAGGCCGGGAGGAGGAGGTGTTTTCGGTGAACTGTCAAAGTCTCAGTATCACTCCTGGATGGGGGTGCAACCAAAAGATAGGACACAACCATACCAGGACCCTCCAAGGGGTGTCTATTTATAGCCCCTTAGCTGTGATTCGGGGTGTCCATTAACCACCCCTTGAAGGTCCTGGTACACAACCTGTTGTTTTGCTTTTGGGCACTTTCAGCAATCTCTTGTTTAATTTGATGAGTCAGGCGAGTATTTTGTAAGCCTGCGCAAACACACGGTTAAACTAGCGGTTGGTTTCAACTTGATTTTATCGCTATTTCAGTTGGCCCTTTCCAAATCCTTATAGGCATCTTCTTTTGCAAGAAGCGAAGCAACAAATTGTAGGCGGAAGCAAATGGAAGCCCCTTTAAATATTGCTTTACAGTGGTTTCAGGGTAGATGGCACAAATCCCTACATGTCCTTTAGATGGGGGGTCCAAACCACCAAACTTGGGGCCCTTGTGCCATCTACTTCTTGAAACCACATGAAACCACTACTTGTTTTCTTTGGCTGTGAGCTTCGCAAAAGGCTGGTGCGAGTTTAGAGCCACCCCGAGAATCCGGGACACCAGCCATGCGCGTGCCGATGCGCCACATGCCTAGCCGCCTAGTCTCAAATTGGGGGGGGCCATCGAGTACGGTATATGAGTTTGCATTTATTCGATTCATTGAGATTCTAGAGAAGTCATTCCAAAACCATGCAAAGCCACCAAGAACTATACAATCCCATCCTCCGGCATAGTGGCGCTGATTTTCCCCATAGTGGTTTGGCTCCTCAACAAACCACGCAAACCAGGAACCATATGCCCCTTAAAAAGCCAGGGAAAGCAGCACGGGAGTCTCCCGCAAATTATTTGAGGATGATGGACTCACCATATATCCCATTTCTTCCCCATGGATCATGCATGGAATGGTGACAGACATTTACTCCATGTTTGACCCTTTAACTCTTCCATGGAGTGTTTGGATTTGGTTGGTCAATCTTGGTCAGACGAGCGCTCACTACTCACTACTCGTAGCCGACGGGGCTGACGGGCCGATGGGCCACCGAAACCCCAAAAGGGGGATACTGGTGGCGACCAGTCAGACACATCCAGCCCAGCTGCGAAGCCCCAAAATACGCCAAGTGAGGAGAATAAACCTTTGGACTGGACTTCCAGTTGCAAGGGCAGATGGGGTTGAAACAACCTTTGCCCGACAGCCATGGGTGTTCTGGGATAGGTGTTCTGGGATGTTGTGGGCCACAGGAGCGGAACAAAAAGACAAATTTTGCCGAAGACCTATTCAGGATCGTGCACATCCTCGCACAATTTGTTTAGTCCTGGACACAGAGCCAGAACAGGTTTATATATGTTTATATAACAACCGCTTTGTTCCTGCTGTTGACCTACGAGACATTGGGTATTTTAACTTTGAACTTCACTCACATCAGGATTATTTACATCGCTTCAATGATGAACAAGCCACTGCGACTCGCCGATTGATGTGCATCTACTTACCTATCTTCGGTCGTATAGCGCCTTTGAAGTCCCCCGGTTCCCACCTCCATGTAAGACAACCAGTCGATAGTTGGAGAGAAAGACTTGAAGGCTTGGCATGGGGGTCAGCTTTTCAAGCTCTTCTCAGAACATGGATGACTTTTGACATGCTTTGACCCAGTGGATCCGAGTTACTATATATATATATATATATATGGGACCAGGCTTTCTAGGTCTACGGTTAAAGTCGGTTCGTGGAACCACTGGTCACCTATTACAGGGCTCAAAGCCTGGATCCACTGGGTGTGATTTCCGGATACAGGAGCTTCAGAGCCCAGCTATCGCCATGCTTCGGTCATGAGGCGGTGAGAGACACCGCCTCACCGGTTTCGTCAAAACCCATTTGGTGAAGACCCACCCAGGGGGCCATTTTCAGTATCTGTGAAGTGTACGCTGTACACTTAGGTTCTTGAAGATGAACCTGTTTCATGTCACCCGCAACTCACCTCTCAAGCATGGGAGGGTGCATGCGCGCTGAAAAGGCGCGGCCGTGAGGATTGTTGATCCTCGTGCTTTCTTTTGCTCGACACGGACTTCGTTCGCCGTGCACGACAAGTTCACATTGGTAGCGGAGCCCCATTCCGGGGCTCCCGCGAACTTTGTGTCTACTTGAACGAGGCCCTGCTTAAGACCTTTGTCACCTTCACTCTGCCGAGCTCTTCTGGCGCCTCGTGGAAGAGACCTTTCGGCTTAGGCTCCACCTCCTGCTGAAGACCTACGGAAGTGACAATGGCAGCAGCATCCGCCGGGACGAAAGAAGTAGAGACACAGAACCTGCGCGACTCCTACGTCCCCTTGTTCTCGAACCAGCCCTCAGAGTACAAAGAGTACAGGAAACGCCTCAACCTCTACCACAAGAAGATGGTCATCAGCAAACGAGCTGGTGAGTCTGTGCTGAACATCCTCGGAAGCTTCAGCGGCGTGACCTGGAAACTCTTCGAGGATTATCCCGTTGAGGATGTGGAGAAGAGTGACGCCTTCAGCAAAATACTCGAAAAGCTGGACAAGAACTTTGAATATGACGACCGCGTCCTTCTCCCCAACGACTTCGAGGAGTTCTTCAACCTCATTCAGAGGAAGCCTCAGCAGAGTCTCCTGACCTACGTCACGGAGTTCGACACCTCCTATCGGAAGCTGATGGCACACAATGTTTCACTACCCGGCCAAGTCCAAGGATGGCATCTTCTCCGGCGTGCCGCCCTGACCAAGGAGCAACGCCAAATGGTGACTTTGAAAGCTCCAACGCTGGAAAAGCAGGCCGTCATCGATGCACTCTACCTCCTCTTCGGTCAAGACTATAAAGCGGGTGGTTGGAACAACGACAGAGATCGAAAGTTCGCCCGCTGGAAAGGTAGAGGCTATGCAGCCTATGAGGATGATGACTATGCCTGGCCATCCGACACTGCCTGGCCCGATGAGAGTGGCTACTATGAGGCCGATGAATGGGGACCTGACGACTACAACCCTGACGAGGACGAATCCTTTGACTATGACGCCATCTACTATGGTGAGGAAGAGCCAACAGAAGACCATGGCGAATCGACTGAGGATCCCTATGAGCTTGCCGAACAGTACGATCATGCCTATGCGACCTACCTTGATGCAAGGCAACGCTTCCAGCAGCTCAAACTGGCTCGCGGATACCTTCCAGTGGTCGCCCTCACTGATGGTCAATCCTCTCCTATGGCGTCCAGCCCCTCGAACAAAGGCAAGGATCGCAGTCCCTCAAAAGGGAAGTCCAAGAGCAAGAACAAGGGCAAGGGCAAGAATGTCATCCGCTATCCACCCAACACTGGTGGCAAGGCAGCTGATCCTCGTGGCCGAGCACAAGCAACGACCTGCCTCAGATGTGGCCAACCCGGTCACTGGGCTGCACAATGCCCGCAGTCGGCTCGATCAAGTTCGACGGCTACCAAACGTCCTGCTCCTGGTCCAACAGAAGGAATGGCCGTCCAGACCGAGCATGCCCTCGTGCTCTTCCAGGACGAGTTCGGTGATGAACGTCCTGATGCCACGATGCTGGATCCTGGTGCCTCAGCCTTTCTCAGCGGATACGGTCCTTTCAAGCGATATGTTGACCACCTCAACTCCATGAACTACCCGGTCAACACGATCCGGTTCGCTCGATGCGAACGACAGTTCCACTTTGGCGGAGACGCTTCATCTCAAGCTCGCTGGACCGTGGATCTTCCGGTGATGTTGGATGGCAACTATGGCACGATCCAATGCTACCTGGTGCCCGGAAACACTCCAATGTTGATGGGACGACCTGTCATTGAGGCGCTCCACATGGGCATTGACTTCAGCCAGAAGCAAATCCGATTCGGCCGCTCTCCTTGGCAACCGGTCTTGGTTGGCAAGCATGGTGAATACCTACTCAGCCTTACAGCTGGAATGGAGCATGTGCCGGATCCTACGAAGAGCTTGTTCACCCTGCACATCGCAGAAGAAGTTCCTGGCAGCCACCTGCATCTGGAAGACTTTAACAACCTGGAACAAGTCTTCGCTGCCGATGAGCAAGTGCCTTCGGACAACAACTTCACCTCAGCCCGACTTCATCGACATGCCCTTCGCACCATGGAGGTACAGCTGACCACCATGATGAACTCCACTGAAGCCTACATCACCAATGAGCTTCACCAGCCTCCTGAACACAGAAGGGTGTTGTGGGAAGTGTACTGTGGCAAGGCCCGCATGGGCCAGGTCGCTGAAGAACTTGGCATGAAGGTCGAGCGCTTCTCCTTGGAAACTGGTTGGGACTTCAACCTCAAGAGCCACCAGCAACAGTTCCTACAGCGATTGGACGAGGAGGAGCCTGATGAAGTCCTTCTCGCACCTGAATGCAAAGTTTGGTCCCGCATGCAGACTTTGGCATGCAGAACGACGGCTCAACCAGAAGCCCTGGTCGCTCGAAGAGAACATCATCATCGTCGACACCTCTGCTTTGCCAAGCGCATCTTCCTCCGACAGGCAGCAAATGGTCGACACGCTCACCTGGAGCAACCACGACATGCTCTCAGCTGGAACACTCAAGCCTTGAAGGCTCTACCTGGCTACAACGCCGACTTCGACCAATGCCGCTATGGTGCTATGTGCCTGGACACCGATGGCCGATGGCGACCTGTCCAAAAGAGCACTCGACTGAGGACCACCAAGAAGGCAGTCCTGGAAGCTCTGCAACTTCGCTGCACTCATGATCACCAACATTGTCCCCTCGAAGGAGCAGCTCCTGGTCTTGGCCCTCGAACGACCTACCTTGAGGACTACCAACCTGGCTTTGCAGCTACACTGGCCGCAGCACTCGCTCAGCCTGAACCAGGCCAACTTTGGAACACCGCCTATGCAGTTGATGGCTCCGAGAAGAAGGCCACTGGTCATTTGCTCAAGCTTCAAGCTGAACACCATCAAGATGCTCTACGTGTTGTACAACGCTTGCATCGAAACCTGGGTCATCCTTCACCTGAGGCCCTAGCTGACCTGCTCTTGGCAAGAGGCGCTCATGCATCTGTTGTTTCCGCCGCCAAGGAGTACAAGTGTGTCGCTTGCTTGAAGCACAAGAAGCCGAACCAAGTGGCTCCATCGTCCATGCCACAGCCGAAGAGCTTCAACGACACCATCCAGGCCGACGTCTTCTACCTGAAACCAGGTGATCGGAAGTTCTCCATCCTCAGCATCGTTGATGTTGGCACCAAGTTCATGGCTGCTAGCCTGGTGTTGGAGGAAACCTCTGAGTCTTACTCGAAGGCCCTGGAAAAGGTCTGGCTACGCCACTTTGGACCTCCTCGTGTCTTGGTCACTGATGAAGGAAGACCATGGCTCGGTGGCACCTTTGAAACTTGGACCAGTGCTGTTGGCATTGATCATCAAGTCGCCCCTGGAGAGGCTCATGAACGACTCGCCCTGGTTGAGCGGCGCCACGCTGTTCTTCGACGTGCTTGCGAGGTCTATCTCTCAGACCGCAAGCTGACTGACGCCCATGGAGTGAAAGAAGCCCTGACCTATGTCATTCCGCAACAGAATGCCACTCCTTCAGTTGCTGGATTCACTCCGAGCCAATGGATGTTGTGTTATCAACCTGAGTTGAGCCACCTTCTGGACTCCAACCTCAACGCTGCACAGCTGGCCGGAAACAACATCACGTTCGAGCAGAACTTGGAACGTCGCACCTCTGCACGTATGGCACTCACAAGCGCCGATGCTGACTCCAAACTTCGGAGAGCCTTGAGCAGGAAATACCAAGGTCAAAGCCGCATCTTCCGGCTTGGTGAACGTGTCTGGTTCTGGAGAGACGCCCGACAGAGCGCACTCAACAAGATTCGTTGGCTGGGACCCGCTCATGTGGTGCTACGTGAAGAAGACCCCGATGCACCTACTGAAGCCACCAAGGTCAACACCTACTGGCTAGCCTACAAGAGCCAACTCATCCGAGCTGCACCTCACCATGTCCGTGGCGACATCCTTGGACCACAGCACGTGCTGGACGACTTGCAAGCATCGCTCAACATGGTGCGTCAACTCAAGTCTCGTGGAGTCACTCGATACTACGACCTCCGGCGTGTCAACCGACAACAACTTGA